TTGTTAAAACAGTTTTAAAGCAGTATAAATATAGTTCATATATTTAAGAAGGTAGAAAGATGAGCCTTTTAAGAAAAAATATGAGGGCTGGGGTTGTAGCTCAGTGGTACAGTGCTACAAAAAACTATACACTGGGTTCAATCCTTAGCACCACATAAAAATAAATAAATAAAATAAGGATATTGTGTCCACCTACAACTAAAAAATATATAAGAAAAAATACGAAAGATATACAAAAATCTAATTCACAACAATTCAAATATAATTAACACAAGTGCATTGTATATTTAAAAATTATTAAGATGGTAAATTTTATGTTTTTAGCAATGATTTTTTATTTGTTATTGTTTTTGTTATTAATTATTATTGTTATTATTATTATGGTACCAAAGATTAAACACAAAGGCACTTAACCACTGAGCCATATCCCCAGACGTTTTGATTTTTATTTTTTGAGACAGGGTCTCACTAAATTAGGAGCACAAGTAGATAATATAATATAGGGCCTTGCTAAATTACCAACACTGGCTTTGAACTTGGGATTGTCCTACTTCAGCCTCCCAAGACACTGGAATTATAGGCATGTGCCACTGTACCCAATGGCTTACCACAATTTTTTTTAAAAAGCACTGGATGAGGAGAAAATAATAGCACTTTGCTACTCTAAAAGAAAAAAAAAATCTACACATAGAAATCTAGAGAAGAAAAATATAATGTCCTAGTAGAAAAAATGGTCTGAATAAGATTATCAGCAGATTAGACCCTGTTTAAAAAAGAAAAGATTAATAAACTTGAAGACAACCATAGAAATCACTTAAAATGAGATAGAGGAAGGACTTGGAAAATGAACAACACAATATCTGTGAATTGTGAAATAACACCAAGTGTCCTGATATGGGTGTAATAGGATTCCCAAAAGGGGAGAGGATGAGACAAAAAAAGTTAAAGAACCAATGGCTGAATTTGGGTTAGGGTTGTGGTTCAGTTAGAGAGCACTTGCCTAGCACAAGTGAGGCACTGGGTTTGATTCTCAGCCCTACATATAAATAAATAAAATAAAGGTCCATTGAGAACTAAAAAAAAAAAATTCCCTGAATTTAATAAATTATAAATTTATAATCCTATAAGCAGAATTTTCCCAAGCAGGAGAAACAAGCAAAAAATCATGCTAATAAATACATCTTAGTCAATTAAGCTGATACACAAATTATCATAGTGGGTGGCTTAAACACAAACATTGATTTGTCAGTTATGAGGGCTGAAAATTAGAGATCAGAATGCTCACCTGGTTGAATTTGGATGATGCCCTCTTTCAAGGTCTCTTTTATAAGGGTACTCAACCCTCATGAGTTAATTGTCTCCTAACAGCCCTGCCTCCTAATACCACATTAGGGATGAGGATCTCAACATATGAGTTTGGAGGAGACACAAACCTTCTGTTTTTACTAGCATATCACCCTGGGTTCTATCCCCAGTACCATAAGATAAATAAATAAAGATTAAAATAGAGATTGTATAGAAAAGTGGGACATATTTGAGAAAGTGAAATAATATATTTTTTAAAATAACCTATAGGTCAAAAAAGGAAAAAAATGAATATATTTAATGGGGTGAAACCAAAGTATAACATAAAAATGTATGGGGTATGGTTAAGCTGTTCTTGGAAACTAATGACATCAAGGCTACATATGGTTGTTTAAGAGAAGATTTGTGAAAGTAGTATGTTAACAATACTAGGTATTTCTTTAGTCTAAGTAAGATTTATGTAATTTCTTCTCCAAGTAATTAATCTGTTTTCTTTACCTGAAAGAATGCACAGCAATTTGGCGGGTGTAGATTTCATCTGGCTATTTGTACAAATGATTCACTTTTTTCTTCCTATGTAACTTTGTGTGGTAAACACCTTTGGGATTTCCTTTCCTATGCTTAACCCTGAAGTAAAAATCACACATTTTGCTACCCTGTAGTTTCATTTTATTTCTATTGCAGCACTGGGTAATAGAAATACAAAGACACAAACAAAATTTTTTAAAAATACATTTTTTGTTGTTGTTGTTAACTAGAGATTGAGCTCCAGGTGCTTTAACTACAAAATAAATTTTTAAAAATTAAAAAAATTAAAAAAAAAACACTAGTAAAGAAGAAAACTCTCAAATCAATGAACTAAAAAAGCTAGGGGGAAGACAACTAAAATAAAAAAGGTAAAAGGCAATAAAAGAGGCAGAAAATGGCAAAAGAAAAAAAACCCAATGAAATAAAAAAGAGGAAAATAATTAAATGAAAAGCAGATTATATGAGGTCAATATAATTTAGAAACCAAGCCAGACCATCAAGGGTAAGAGTAAAGACACAAACTACTAACATTAGGAATGGCAGAGGAAACATCACTATAACTTCTTCAGACATTAAAAAATGAGATTGGAATAGAGTGAAAAACTTTGCATCAATAAACTCAACAATTTAAATGAAATTCCTTGAAATCAAATTCCATGAAATACATACACTATTCAAACTAACTTAAAAAGCAACAAAGACAGGAACTTTCAGAAGTGGGGTATAGGGATGTGGAAGAATATTCCCCTCATGACAACCAAGTGGTGAAAAAAAAATTTAACTTAAAGTCTCTAGAAATTACTCCAAGGATGTAGAACACAAAAAGAAACATTCTAAAAGATCTAATAAATCTTGGCCAAAACAGCAAGAGTATGTAGCCTTTGAACCATGACACTCCCAACTTTAAATGTCCCCCAACTTTAAATGACATCAGCTACTGCAGGCAGCTATGGACAAATGTGGGGAGTGGTGACTTGGATCAGGGTCCTGTTTCAAAGCAGGAGACTGCCCTAGACTGGGAGCTTGCTGTGCAAAGATGTAGGTCAAGATTGCCCAGCTGCTATGGTGATACCCTGCTTAGGGAGGTTCTGTGCAAGGCTTGGGACTATCAGTCTTAACCCTGAGTTCAGACACCAGCTGCCAGGGATAGAGAATTAGGAACACAAGTAGATAATATGATTGGCTGCCAGTACTTCAACCTTTAGCCTGCCTGCGTTTGTTGTTGTTGTTTTGTTTTGTTTTTTCTTTCTTGATACAGGTGATTGAACTCAGGGACACTCAACCACTGATCCACATCCCCAGCCCTTTTTAAAAATATTTTATTTAGAGACAAGGTCTGGCTAAGTTGCTGAGGCTGGCTTTGAACTCTTGATCCTCCTGCCTCAGCCTCCTCAGTTACTGGGATTATTGGTATGTGCCACTGCACCTAGTGAAAAAAGAATAAAGTCTTCTTTTTAAAAAATGTACAGATGGAGGCTGGGTTGTGGCTCAGCCGCACAGGGCTCACTCAGCACCTGTGAGGCGCTGGGTTCGATCCTCAGCACCACATGAAAATAAATAAAGGTATTGTGTCTGACTACAACTAATTTTTTTTAAGCGTACAGTTCAGTAGTTTGGGTATATTACATGTTGTGGTTCAGATGTGGAATGTTCCCCCCAAAAGCTCATGTGTTGAAGACTTGGTCTCCAGTGCAGCAGTATTCAGAGGTAGGCTTTGGAGAAGTGATTTGATCATGAGGGCACTAGCTTCATTTTAATCTATCTATGAATTCATAATCTGAATGGACTATTTGGAGGCTGTGAGAAGGGTAACAGACACAACTTAGTTGAAGGAATGGATCCCTGGGGTACATCCCCTTAAGACTTATCTTTTCCCTAACCCCTTCTTCTCTGCCTCTCTGCTTCATAGATGCCATGAGATGAGCAGCTGTCCTTTGCAACAACTTTCCGCCATGATGTTTCTATCTTGGAGCCAGCCAATCCTGGACTCAAAACTTTGAAACCATAAGCCAAAATAAATCTTTCTTTTCCTAAGTGAGTTTTTTTCAAGTATGTAATAAACATTGAAAAGATGACTAACACATTATAATATTAACTTTCAAAAATTGTGGTTGTGTATACTATGTAATATTTGCCTTTTAAACATTTTTAAGTATAAAATTCAATAGCATTAATTGCATGAAAAAAATGTTGTCCAACGTTCACCAGAATCTATTTCCAAAACTTTTTCATTACCCTAAACAAAAACTCTATAAATTTTAAGGAATCTCTCTTTATTCTCCCATCCCTTAAGCCTTGATAACATTTAATCTACTTTCTGTCTCCAAGAAATTTTCTATTCTAGATATTTCATGTAAATGTGATCACATTACTTACTGATGGTCGGATATTGAAAAATGAAATTGCTATCCTCCTGCCTCAGCCTGCCTGAGATTTACGGGCATGTGCCACCACACCCTGCTGGTCACAGCTTTTTGACTATCTCTTGGATCCTACCAGATCATACCACATATGCCATAAATTAAAAAACGCAATAAAGTTGTTGAATAAACTACATTTTAGACAGCCCAACAGTGCAGGGAAGGGGCCAGTTAGACTTCTGCTTCAATCTGTAGCACTTGGCAATCTGACCATCTGTAAGCAGTGTGGATAGGTTTAGGGAAGTTGTGGCTTCTGAGTGACAACTGAAAGGCTTCCGTTCCAACTCAAGCTTGAGTCAACCCCCAAACTGCACACGGGTGCAAACCCAAATGGGGACACAGCAACAGCCCAGCTGGGTGCTCTCAGTCCTTCCCTTTTACTTTTACAAATGGGCGAACCCTGGCCTTCGGAGACAAAGGAGGAGCACCCAGGGTCGGGTGCAATAAGGTTTGGGAGCTCGTGCAGAGGACGGAGCCCGGCTCCAGGGACCGGCAGCCGGCCTGGGCCTCCCCCGGGTCCGCCCCGACGCCGCCGCACCGGGCACGCGCGGGCCGAGGGGACCGAGACCAGGTGTAGGAATGGAGACCCGCGGAGGTCAGCGCGGGCGGCGCTCAGGCTCGGGCGGGGAAAGCCTGGACATTGTGACGCGCGGAGGGCAGGCGGGAGGGCCTGGAGGAGGGGCGGGGCAGCCCAGAGAGCCGGAGGAGCCGCGGTGGCCGGCGCGGCGCCGCGTTGGCGCGCACGCGCCTGAGCGCGCGCCCGGTAGGGCGGGCCCGGACTCGCGGGCCGGGACTCGCCGCTCGCACGCCCTTGGGCCGCGGCCGGGAGCCCGCTCTGCTTTCCGCTTCCGACGCGCTGTCCAGGGAGCCGGTGGATGTGCGGCAATAACATGTCTGCCCCATTGCCCTCCGTCGTTCCTGCTGCCCGGAAGGCCACCGCCGCGGTGAGTGACGGCGGCCGGGGCTCGGAGGGGCCCACAGGGCCCGTCCCCGGCGTCTGTCCCCCCTCGCGGCGTGGTCGTTGCAGGCCGGGGGCGACCAGGTCGGGGGACGCCCGGGAGGGATGCGGGTGGTGGTGCGTCCCGGCCTGGGCCGTGAGGGGACACCGCTGGGGTCGCAGCTGGCCGGGAGAGCGGCCCTGACCCCCTGGCCTCTGCATTGCAGAAGGAGCGCGGCCCCGGGACCCCGGTTGCCCGCCTCCGGCGTGAAGCGACGCGCGCGGGTGCCTCTCCAGCACGCTTCCACTCGGTGTGTGGAGGAGGTCAAGTCCGCAAGCGCGTTGCTGTATTGTCCTATCTTGCACCCCTGTCCTAAGTGACAGAAGTTTAAGCTTTAGTGTCTTAAAAGATAAGAGGTCTTGATTTTTTTAGGGGAACTTGTTTCCTAAGAATTGCAAACTTATATTTGCCCCCCGGAAACTCCTTTTTGTGATGGAAAAATTCTACAGTGTATGAGACTTCCACGGTTTTACTTGACGGAGACAAACTGTTTTCCTTGTAATGTGATAATTTGCACTCCAGAATGTCTAACTGGGACTTCTAGAGTGCTAAAACCCCACGTTAATTATCTTAGGAACCAAAAGTAGAAAAGGTGATTGCTGTTTTGCCATTTAAAAAGAGGTCTATAATATTAATTCTATACGGTGTTCTGGAATTCTGTCTTACGTTTTAAGAACCTTCATTCAGTTTTTCACCTTAACCAAAGCTACAGTTGTGTGTGGGCTCATTGATTTAAGCATTGCTTACTTTTTTCCTCCTCCTCTTTAGGTTATTTTCCTTCATGGATTGGGAGATACTGGGTAAGTACCATTATTAGTAACAGTACTTAAATGGGGTGAAAGGTTTAGTGTCTTAAGAGGAGGAAATTGTATTAAAAAGTATTGCTAGTAATGTTTTACAGAGAGTGGTAAGATCTAATCTTCTGTGTTTTCAAAAGTCCCAGAATTTTCCCATATCATCTTGAATTTATCATTTTTCAGCTCCCATTTCTGGAACATATTAAAATTGTAATACTCCCTGGTTACTTTGGGTATTGGATACCAGAGATGAGTGGAATGTTTGTAGAGGCGGTGTGCAATTGAGATCCTTCCAGAGGAGTTAAAATTTCAGTACAGGTTGGGAGGGGCTAATTGATTTTGTTAAAAGGCAATATAAGTCATATAGAGTTCTGAATGAGGGATTAGTTGATCCCTTAAAGAAGAAAATCAGTTGAAGGGCAGGGGAGACAACTCAAAGATTTATTTGGATCTAACAAGTTTATTGTACTAACTTTATGATTTATCTATTACTTATTTGAGAGTTTTTTAACAGTGATTATCTGTTTGAAATTTAGGTAAAATATGAATGCTAAGTTCATATTGTAAATTGCAACTCCAAATTGTATTTGGAAGAAAGAAGATAAATTCATTTTGATAAAGCAACCAAAACACTAGTTAATGTTCTTCAAAATGAAATATTGGGTAGGGTGCAGTGGCTCAGACTTGTAGTTCCAACTATTCTGTAGGCTGAGGCAAAAGCAACACTTGAACACAGGACTTTTTGACCACTCTGAGCAACATAAGAGACCTGGTATCTAAATAGATGTGTATGTTTGTGTTGAGGTGGGGGGGTTGTGGCTCAGTGGTAGAGCACTTGCCTAGCATGCGTGAGGCACTGGGGTCAATCCTGGAACCACATAAAAATAAACAAAATAAAGGTATTGTGACCATCTACAACTAAAAAAAAAGAAAGAAAAGAAAAATTAAAAAAGATAGGCAGGCAGGTAGGCAGGAATTGGGCTAGATTAATTCTCTCTTCTAAGTATTAACCAGGCCTGACCCTGCTTAGCTTCCAAAATCAGCTGATAGGATGTATTCAAGGTGTTATGGCTTTAGACATGAGCTAGATCCGTTCTTTAAAGTGATTATTTGTATTCTTTCATCTCTGCTCAGTCAAATATGGAATTATAGGAAAGGTTGTAAGACTTTCTGGCAATCGATAGTCCGATGAAAATGACAGATTTTCATTTTACTGAATGGAAGCCAGGGAGATGCTTGCTGTCATATAACCTTGTCCATAAGGAGAACTTCTGGGTCTGAAGAACCAATCCAAGCAAAAATTGCCTCAGTAGAGGCAGAGTCTCTGTGGAGTCCAGTATAGCCAGATTCCAAACTGAAATTAAGAGTGGAGATGGTGAAGAAAATCAAGATAAAATCAAGATAAGATTTAAAAAAAATACCAGCAGCATCTGTGACATCTTGATTTAAGTTTATGTAAAACAAAAAACTAAAGGTCTCCAGTTCTGAAAATATGTCATAACCTAACACTGAAGAAAAGTTGACTCTGTGTTGGTTCCATGAATTCATGATGAAATTCAGACCCAGCCAATCTGTCAAGTGGCAATTTAATGTTTAACTTTCACAGAATACATCTGAACATCAAAGTGGTGTAATGAACTGTGAAACTACTATTTGAAGAAATACTTTTAGATCATATTGTATTGCAGGAAATCAGTTTTCTTTCTAAAATAAAGATAGTGTTTGTTATGGTTTTGAAAATGTTACATTTGTATTATAAAAAAAATTTTTTAAATGCAAATATGTTTAAAAAGAGAATGAAAATGAGTTGAGATTCCAAGACCCAGAGATAAGCTCTTTTTATCTCATTTTAAGAAATGCTTTATTTTGAAATAGTTTCAAATTTATAGAAGTGTTTCAAGAATAATAGATACTCAATATCCTTTACCTAGACTTACTAATCTCTGTACTTATGAAATACACACTATGTTTGCTGTACCCTTTGAGACTAAATTGCAGATAAGATTCTTTACTTCCGTATACTTTAGCATAATCTCTTAAGTAATGTAAACTAAATATAAATTAAATGCTGTATGAATATATAAAGAGTCTCTTGTATAACCACAGAACAGTTAACAAATTCAGGACATTGAATATTATCTAATATACTACATATTCAAACTTTGCCAATTTGTTCCTGTAATGTACTTTGTAGCCATCTTTTCCCCCTGCAATCCAGTTCCTATTCACATGTTGCATTTAATTGTCACATCTCTTTAGTCTTTAATCTGGCAGAATTTCTCAAGCTTTTTTGTTTTTGTGACATGGATAATTTTACAAAGCTCGGGCTAGTCAGTTTGTGTAGTATTCCTTATGATTAGATCTATCTGTGCATTTTTTATATGAATACCATAAAATCGATATGTCCTGTTTATACTGTCATATCAAAAGATGAATGATGCCATTTGTCCCACTATTAGCATTAACTTGAATCACTTGATTAAGGCGGTGTCTTCCAAGTTTCTCTACTGCAGTTATTTCCCTTTGTAATTAAAAAAGCAAGTTGAAGGAAGATAACTTTGAAATCATGTAAATAGTTCCTCATCAGACTCTCACGTAGCATCTGGATAAATCTTACTTGAATCAATTATTATTATGATACTTTTAACTCCATCCTTTTCTGTTTTTTACTTTGCTTCTTTGAGTTTATTTAATGTGGACTCAAATTTATTTAATAGGCTATATTTTACTGTTGTGTTTTAAATTTTTTAGCTTTAAAATAACTTCAAATTTATGTAAGTTATAGAAATAGCATTTTCAGCTTTATATACCTTTCACTTAGATTGCTCAATTTTTAATATTTGGAACCATAAGAATAAGTTGCAGACATGTTGCTTCATTCCTCCATATTTAATAAGAGTGTGTGTGTGTGTGTGTGTGTGTGTGTGTGTGTGTTGTAGTGTAAGGATTGAACCTAGGGCTCATGCTAGGCAAGAACTCTACCACTAAGCCACATCCCCAACCCTAAGTGTGTATTTTTAATTGCAGGATACTCCCAAACAACCACACTATAACCATCAATCAAGAAGTTAACACTGATTTAATGCTTCCATCTAATTAATCAACTGCATTCACATTTCCTTCATTTGACTTGATTTCTAGTATTGACCCTCGTCGCTCCAGGATCTAATCCAGAGTCACATATAACATTTAGTTATCATGTTTCCTTAGTCTCCTTTAGTCTGGTATAGTCCTTCCTTGTCTTTCATGACCTTTTTATTTTTTAAAAAAATACAGGCCATTTACTTTGTAGAATGTCCCTCAGTTTGGGTTTTCTGATGTCTCCTTGTGATTTGTACCTTTTTGTCAAGAGTACCTCAGAAATGTTGCTGTACTTGTCTCATTGAATTATCTCAGGCACATATTATGCTGATTTTAAAAAATTATTTATTCTAATTACGTATATATGACAGCAGAATGCATTTTGATTCACTATACACAATTGCAGCACAACTTTTCATTTCTCTGGTTGTACACAACGTACGTCACACCATATGTGCAGTCATACATGTACCTAGGGTAATAATGTCCATCTCACTTCACCATCTTTCCTGCCCCTATGTTCCCTCCCCTCTTCCCCTTTTGCCCAATCAAATGGTCATTCCCTGTGTAAGACAACTTGAATGAAATAAATGACAGATTGAACAAGAGTGTAACCCTCAGAGAAAAATACATCCAATACTTTCAGGATAGTGCTCATGTCTTTTGGATATATTTTTATCATTATTTGCAATTCCTTTGCTTTGATTAAAACAAAATTTTTGCCAGGATCATCTTATATTTTTCCTGCTCTGTTTCTGGACTTAGCCATTTTTCTAAGAGTCTGGGTGCTTTCAGTAGAGAATTGTATTTAAAAACCAAGATCTGCCGGGTGTGGTGGTACATTCCTGTAATTCCAGTGGCTCAAGAAGCTGAGGCAGGAAGATTTGGGGTTCAAAGCCAACTTCAGCAACTTAGCAAGACTGTAAGCAACCTAGCAAGAGCCTGTCTTAAAATAAAAAATAAAAAGGGCTGGGGATGTGGCTCAGTAGTTAAGCATCCTTGGGTTCGATCCCAGGTACAAAAAAAACAAAAAAAGAATCAAGACCTTGAGTACTGTGTGTGCTGATTGCTTCGGTTGTTTCGTCTAATTCTTTTAGTGTACAGGGCAATGAATGTGTCTATATACATATGTTTATAAAAATACATCTATATCAGTTTTGGTATTTATAAATACTAAAAGTCTTAAGTTTGAATTGATTCCTCATATTCTATCCCAGCACTCCAGATTTATTATAGCTTTCCCCCTTTCGATATCTGTAGTTCCAAGAGGAGCCTGACTTCTACTTCTGCAGTTCTAGCAGTAGTGCAGCTCTAGTGTGCTCTTTCTACCTGCATTAGCCCACAGCTGTGCTTCCTACGTGAGACCCTTTCCCCACCAGCCCTTTTCCTTTTGAAACAGACTCTCACTGAGTTGCCAAGGCTGACCTTACACTTGTGTTCCTCCTGCCTCATCCTCCTGAATGTTGGGATTACTGGCATGTGCCACCATGCCTGGCCTCCCCCTTTCTTTTTTGGTATTTGTTTTGCACTAGAGATTGAACCAAGGGGCGCTTTACCAGTGAGCTAAGTCCTCCTTTTTATATGTTATTTTTAGGCAGGGTCTTTCTAAGTTGCTGAGGCTGATTTCGAACTTACAGTCCTCCTGCCTCAGCCTCCTGAGTCTCTGGGATTCCTCCCACCCTTTGAATGTGATAGCTGAAAACTCAGTTCCAATTAAGGAGAATGAAGGAGGAAGAAAGGACAGGTGGACAGCTCAATCCTCTTTATGAGCCACCATTCTCAACACCACTACCCCCCAGGCCTCCATATACTCCAGGAATTAGGCTCTGTACTACCAGTCTTTGTGAGATTTTTCTAGGCCGAAGAGATTGTGGAAGCACAGAAAAGAATGTTTTAAAGATAAAGAACTGATCTACTGCTAA